GGCGGCGGGCGGGCGCTCAGAGGAGGGCTCTTTCTTTCTTCTTTTTTTGAATGAACGGTGACGTACGTACAGGAAACCAGGCGCTCCGGCGGAGAATGAAGTAAGAGGCCGGGCCCCCCGCCCCGCGCCCGCCCCCTTCCTCCCCGGTCCGTCCTCCCGCCCCGCGTCCGGGTCCCCGCCGAGCCGCCGCCGCCAACACCGAGGTGCCCCGGGCCCTCCCCAGCCGCAGCCGTCACCGCGGAACGGGCTGCGCGGCGCGAGCACGAGGAGGCGGCCGCCAGCGCCGCCCGCAGCGGAGGAGGAGAAAGGGTGCGCAGCCCGGAGGCGGGGTGCTCCGGTGGGGTGCAGCGGAAGAGGGGGCCGGGGGGGGGGACTTCGTAGCAGTCATCCTTTTTAGGAAAAAAGAGGGGGGGCAAACCCTCCCCCACCACCTCCTTCTCCCGCAGCGCACCACACACAGTGCGCGGGCTGCTCCTTGGGCACCGGCGGCCCCAGCGCGTCCTTGCCTGCGTTTAGCAAGCTGCTTTTTTCCCCCTTTCGGAAAACGCATTGGCCCTTCGGAGTTTGATCAGAAGAGGATTCCGGTCCCCGTCCCCCAGCTTCTCCATCGTCCCCACTGGCGTGTCTCTCTCCCCTGGAGGTCTGAAGCGGTCCGGTGGATACGGATCCATGCCTGCGCTCCAGCGTGTGTGTGCGCGAGTGTAAATTGCCGAGAAGGGGGGAGAATCCCAGGACTTCTGCAAATGCTGGACTGAAAATTGTAATTCATCTGCCGCCGCCGCTGCCTTTTTTGCCCCGCTGCGGTGCTCTTGAGATCTCTGCTTGGGATTGCGACGGATTGACATTCTCAGTGAAGCCGGAGTGTGAGGACCCAATCTGGAAACCTTCCTGATTTTTCCTCCACCTAGCCTCCAGACCCCAACTCCCGATTCATTGCAAGTTTCAAAGAAGCTTATACAAGGAGACTTCTGAAGATCGATGGTGTGGTTGCCTTATGTATTTGTTTGGGTTTTACCAAAAAAGGGGAAACTTGACAGAAGATCATGCCGTCCTTAGAAAATACAGTAAGTTCTTTGCACAGGAATTTGGTTTAATGTAACTTTCAATGGACGCGTTTGAAATATTTTTTACTTCAAGTGCATTCAAGCAAATTTAATTTCCAGACAGTTTAATGCATTTTCTTTAACGTGTAACTTGTAACGGATATACCTTTCTTACCTTAAATATATAAAGGAAAACACACCTGATTTTAACTTCCTAGGTCGTCCCGCCTCCTCACCTTTCAGCATTGCGGAGGAAGTAGACTGATATTAACGAAGCTTAATAAATAACGTGCCTCATGAAATAAAAAGCCGAAAGGAATTTGAATAAAAATTTCCTGCATCTCATGCCAAGGGGGAAACACCAGAATCAAGTGTTCGGCATAACTAAAGACACCCCTTCATCCAAGAATGCAAAGCACATCCAATAAAAGAGCTGGATTATAACTGTTCTTTTTTTTTTTTTTTTCTTTCGGGGCCGTGGGGCGGGAGTCGAGACGCGAAGTGCTGTTGGTACCTGCAGCTTCTTTTCGGGGAAGGATGGCGCAAGCCGGGAGAACAGGGTATGATAACAGGGAGATCGTGATGAAGTACATCCATTATAAGCTGTCACAGAGGGGCTACGAGTGGGATGCTGGAGATGCGGACGGCGCGCCCCTGGGGGCTGCCCCCACCCCTGGCATCTTCTCTTTCCAGCCTGAGAGCAACCCAACGACTGCTGTGCACCGGGACACGGCTTCCAGGACGTCGCCTCTAAGGCCCCTCGTCGCCACCGCTGGGCCTGCGCTCAGCCCTGTGCCACCTGTGGTCCACCTGACCCTCCGCCGGGCTGGGGATGACTTCTCTCGTCGCTACCGTCGCGACTTCGCTGAGATGTCCAGTCAGCTGCACCTGACACCCTTCACCGCGAGGGGACGCTTTGCCACGGTGGTGGAGGAACTCTTCAGGGATGGGGTGAACTGGGGGAGGATTGTGGCCTTCTTTGAGTTCGGTGGGGTCATGTGTGTGGAGAGCGTCAACAGGGAGATGTCACCCCTGGTGGACAACATCGCCCTGTGGATGACTGAGTACCTGAACCGGCATCTGCACACCTGGATCCAGGATAACGGAGGCTGGGTAGGTGCATGTCTGGTTGAATGAGTCTGGGCTTTGATCTCAAGGCCGAAATTCATAGGTTGGGGTGTGAGTGGATTCTGGGTCAAAATGGGCTGTCGAGCCGATGTAATAAAGTCGAGTTTGTAGCTTTGCTCCCCTGACCCCTCACTCCCTTCCTCTGGGTAGATCACATCCTGCCAACACTGTGTGAACTTCTGCCCGCTGACTGTGAGGGAGCAAAGGTTCAGCATTTTTGATCCAGTAGGATCTGGAGATAAATAGTATTCCTCCAGTGACTCTGAAAGTTACTTAGTCCGAGTAGCTTGCTGCAGATGTTTTGGGTCCTGTGTAGGAACCAGACCTCCAGCACTCCCTCTTGACCTGTGCATCTTTAGCTCCTCTGCTGGACTAACAAACTTAAAAAGGTCCAACTAGACAAACAGGCTCCACCAGAGGACGCAGGCAAACCTTTTCTAACTCACTTGGGAACATTTTCCCAAAGAAAAACAATACAGCTCCTTTTCCTGGAAATCATAGCTAAGCTTGTAAAAAGAAAAAAAAGGTAAGCTTAGGTATTCGTGGATGTTTGTGGAATCCAGTCAGGCTATGCCGTGGTCCCAGTGGGCGTGGTGTGTGTGCACCCTGAACAGGTGGTGGGGGCTTTTGTACATCAGGGAATCTGCAGGGATTTAGAAGTCTGCACCCACTTGAATGTCTTTTACCTATCTCTACCTACAGTCCACATAGTTTTTCGATCTCCACTGCGGACTGGGCTTGCGTCTAGGGTTCGAGGAATAGTGGGGAGTCTCCAGCCCTGACAAGTTAAAATGATTAGTATCCATAACTTTGAGGAACATCTGTGGGGTGATTGTTTTCTGCTATCCTGGAAGGTCAGGCTTCCATATTTTACCATATGACTTAAACTTTTCCCTGGCAGACTCAAGGCTTGTTATACCTAAAACAATTAAGTTATGAGAAAGCAATCATTATTGTCTGACATTTTTTAAAGACCTTGTTTTAACGAAAAGGGTTTTCATTTTAGTCCTGCCTTGGTAGTATCAAGAGAATGGGTATTTTTTTTATAGAACTTAACAGGAACAAAAAGTGTAACTGACCGAATATGAACCAAATATCCTGAAGCACATTATGTTTTTACTACAGTTTGCTAGACCTGCATGCTAATATTCATAGGCCCCAAAAAGAAAAAGCCAAGAAAAACAGATGATTGATGTGAACATCTGATCTTATTTGACCAAAGTTGACAAAATATTGGTGGCACTGTTCAGTGTTTAAAAGTAAAATTAACTCAAATATCAGAGTTTAAATGCTTGAAATTCACATGCTCTTTGTGAATTGCTTGTTTGTTGACGTCCACAGGATCAGATTGTTAGCAATGCTGGAAGACTTGGCTGAAGGATAGAAGCTATTTTGTTAGATATTTAGTTAAGTAGGTGGTTTGATTCTTTTCTTTTTTTTTTTACCCACTGTATTCAAAGAGATGGGAACTTCAGGCTCCAGAAGAATCATTTTAAAGTCAAAGTAAATCTGATTTAGGTTTATTATTTCATATTTTTAATAAAAATAAATGTTTCTTTCTATTTGAAAGAAATCCAAAGCAGCGAATGTGTGGTATTGACTATCAAGTTAATAAAAAGATGGGAAACAGGACCGTATGTTTCTGATAGAAATTCAGATACAGTCTGACCTTTGGTGTTGACTTGCAATATGTTAACACGTCAGACAGCTGAGGTTTCTCTTTAAATGAAGCGTCTCTTTTTTTCCGTGTTCATCATCAAGTTTTTGCTGTAGGGCCTATCTTTGTGGTCAACAGGTATCTGAGGTTGATAAATGCATAGGCTTCACGTTAGGAAGCCAAACCACAATAGCATATTGGAAGAAATGATAAAAACTTTTTTTTTTTTTTTACAAAGACTCATAGTAAACATAAGTCATACGGAACCGCGAGTGGATGATAGGAAAAAAGTCTAATGGGATTCAGAACAGCACATAAATGGACGACTGTGCAGGAAAAGAAAGTACATTGACAAGAGTGTGTATCGGAAAATAGAATCAAATGTGAGCACTTTGGAATGAAAGAGGTAGTGTTTGAGAATTCTTAGTGATTGGTCTATATCAGCGCATGGTTTCAAATGTCTTGTTAATATAAATGTTTGCTTTAGGCGTTTGGCAAATAAATTTCCCTTTAATGTTAGTCAGTCAGGATTTCGTCTCTAACATGTTGCATACTGCGGTGACGTTTTAACAGCTGTAGCTATGATTCAGCTGAGAGCATCTTTTCTTGACGTGAGATAACAATGGAAACGGTGGACATCACTTCCCATGGTTAGCGGAGCAGCTCGGCTATAGACCTACAGAGAACACTTGGAGCTTTACACTTGAAATCACTGCTTCAAAGTCAGGGTGCTCCAAGACTGGGAAAGACAGCGTCCAAGGTTGCAGAGAAAACAACCCTTGGAAGGACCAGCTTCTGATAGAGGGTTCCATAAAGAATAAAGAAGAAATTGGGTTTGAAGCAGAGTATGGCTTAGCTCCACGTCTGAATAAAGGTTTGGTGCCATCTAGAGAAAGGCAAGAAAGAAAGAGTAGGGAGACAACAATAATTCTAGAAAATGTCTGAGATCTTACAGATCAGTAGAATGGGCATCACTGGAGACCTTCTTGGGCAGAGAATCCCGGGCTTCACTCCAGTACCACTGAGTCACAATCTATGGTTTCTGTGTACAGTAAAGTCTGAGGCTGCTGGCTGCCACTTGATCCTTTCTGGATATGGGTGGTTTTTTGTTTGTTTTGTTTTTGAAGGGTCAATCCTGGCATGGGTTCTGTTGACCTCTTTTAGTGGGCTCTGGGTACAGAATGTTACCTGGAATCCTGTTTCTCAGGTGTCCACTATAGCAATGTGACCTCTAAAAGGAGTAGAGAATGAAGGCAAGAGAGAAGTTACATGAGCCCAATCGGACCCCTCTCAGGAATGCTTCTCGTGGTGGTTATGGAGTTTGTGTTGGCACTACTGGTGCCATTAAAGTATGATAAGTTCTCTTCAGCTAAAGGGAAGCTCATGTCACTCACTGTACCTGGCAGAGGTCAGCTCCCTTTGTTGTAGGTAGGTAGCTAGCAAATAGTTTTCCCCTCTGGATTCTGTTCGCATTACCACTCTCATGTCAGTGGATGAGCTACGGGAAAGCATCGTCTTTCCAGTGGTTGTATCAGCTGCCACGGCCATTTTTGGCAGCAAACTTGATAGTATTAAAAATAGCATTATGATGATCCAGCCTTAAATAATACATTCCCTGATGAACTTTCCTTGGGAAACTGTGTATCTCTGTCTGCTAAGAATCCCATGACCACTTTCAATAATTTATTTTGTAAGGAAAAAAAAATCATGTTATTGGTCTTCGAGTCATGTGCTGTTGACTGTCTTCCTGGAACTTCATACAAGTCTAGTTCTCTCCGTTCTCCTTTCTGAGTTGGAGTTCTTGTTGCTATTTAGCACCCACTGAAAGATTTCTTTTCTGTGTCTTGTTCCTTTTAGTTGTGTTTTCTAAAAAAAAAAAAAAAAAAAAAGGAGGCAGCTTGTTCACTTTAGCCACCCTCGATTGAACTGGTACATGTCACACTGTTTAAATGCTGTAGACCACACATACCTACCACGTAACAGAAATCCATCGAGGGGGAAAAACCAAACCAAAATCTTAAGCCTTTCTTTCCTCTTCTTCTTGTCTTCATTTTGTTTTGTATCTTGGATGCATGATAACTGCATTCAAGCAACAACGTGGCTGGATCTTTGAGTGTATTACAGTCGGGTGTCTCCTGCTTTAAGGACACTCACTGTATCCTCATAGCAGGTTAGCAAAGGAGTGCATTTATACAAGAAAACAACACTGCCTTTGTTGTGTACAAGCACCAAGGGTTTTTTCCCCCCCTAGAGGTTTATTGTATGTGAGAGTTAAAGGTTCTGCTAAACCTTTTTAAGGTAATCTGATATTACCTTTTCCAGAAGGTACAGCAGTGACCTTTCATAGAGACCACTCTGAGTTCATCTTCCTATGAAGTCTGTCTTTCACTTTTCTCGGTTTAATTCAGACCCGCACTTAATGTCTGAGCAGGTTAATCATTCAAGGACTGAGTTTCTAGCGGAGCAACATGGCAAGTTTCATGTGTGCCACCCCCTGGATTAGGTGGGGACATGGGAGGGAATGTTCCCCTGCAACCTGGATAAATCACAGGCTGGGGGTCTCTGTGTCTTAGTGTGGTACCCAGGAGCTCAGCAAGCGATCCTGGCCTTAGAAAGAAAAACACAAGAAGTATGTTGTTTTGCATGTGCTTCAGTCTTGATCTTAAAGTTATTTCTAGCCATATGGTTGTTCGCATGTGCATTGGGGCTCATTTAAATAAGGGGCCAAATGCAGCTAATAATTTTAAAAAACTAACTAACATAGACATAGGATTAACAGAACTGAAAGGTGGGGGAGTTCCCTATTTAAGTAGTAATCAGCTAAACACTGTTTTTCACGTTGAGTAGACTTAATAAACACTAATCTACAGTTTGAAAAGAATTTCATTAAAGGGTTTTAAGGGAAAGGCAATCGAGGCTTGCGCTAATTAGAACATGGAAACTTGAAGACGTGTCTTAAATAATGAGAAAGATGCATGTATGCTTTGAACCAGATAAGAGACTCCCCCTGCACCCCTACCCCCAACCTTTGAGAGGAAAAAAAAAAGCTTCTCTTTTGCTTTGGTTTCGGTCCTGGTACTTTTCTGTTATCAGATGTTTCTCTTCTGAAATGTGATTCACAATTTACAGGGATCTCTGTACTACACTCTCACTGTGTTCCTAAGCAACGGTGGATGGTACCCGTGGGCCTCTTTCTTTAAAACCAGATGGAGAAAGTTTTAAAATTAAAAAGTTCTTTCCCTTGTAACAAGGTCTCCTTGCAGGTGGCTGTTTGATACGAGCCAGTTGTACAGTGCCAGCCCCGGCCTCCAGTGAGCATGAGGCTTTC